TATTGTCAAAGAAAAAGAAGCTTAATCTGGATATTAGTCTAAAAACTCTCTCTCAAGAAGTGGGAGCATTGCAACAAGAGTGGGCAAACAGCATAATAGAAAGATGCTCAACTTAATTCAGAGAAGGATGAGTGAGGTGCTTAAGATACTCAGGGAAGCGAGGGAAATTGGAATAAAACCTTGAAAATCTGGGGAGGTAGAGTAATTTTTAAACTTAACAAACATCCTTCAAACATTATATGAATAGAGAATTGAGGAGCAGGTGAAAATGTTGGTTTGTGGTCAGCACATAAGGTCTTCACCCAAAATGGAGTAAACAAGTTAAAGTAGAAATTCATATAAAGCAGAGGGCCTGTTATCCTGAAATGGAAACAGCCAAAAGTTAGACACAAGCAATACAGCCCTCTTAGCCTCTCAGTGTCAAAACTGTTCTTAGACTTGCAAATACACTCTTATGTTGAAAGATTGGGCCTTTCTTTACTAAAAGGGAAAGATTTGAGTTGGAAGAGTTAGGATTATTTGATATGCTAATATTGACAAGACGCCCAGGAAGCATTGTCTCAATTAGAAGAGATGCTCTCAGATTTGCACAGGTTAAATCTTTGTATGGGTAAAATGTTATTAGCATAAACACGTTTAAAACTGTATTCTACATAAGAAGTTTCTGTGGAGAATTGTGAATGCGTTTTTTTTTTTTTTTTTTTTTTCTTTACACTTTTTAAGATTACAGTGTTAAATGTTTATCAGTTACATTTCTAAGCAGCTAGTGGTGGATAACAAATGTGTTACTTCTACACTCAGACCTCATCCAAGGGAAAGCTTATCGGGAATTCTAAGTACACTACAAGCCAAATAACTTCCAGCTTTCCCATCTTTGTACTTCTCTTCATTCCCATCTTTGCCCAAGTCATCTGGTTCATGGTGACTACTGTGTGGCCAATGATGGAATGGCCTCCTGACAGATCACAGAATGTTCAACAGGATACATTGTCGCACCATCTTTTCCAGCAGTCATACTGCCCAGGTGTTCAACATGCCTCTCTTGATCCCTTTGGTCCACCATGTTTTGGAGATAGAGATTAAAGTGAGGACCGCACTGGTACTCGCCTTGTATATTATTTGCAAACTGATGAACATGGAATCATGTCCTTCAGGCATCCTGTAATGTGTCCTAACACCAACTTGTCCATTTTCCTTCTGGGTTTCAAAATGGATAATTCTGTACCAGGCCTCACCCTTCAACATGCACTGATGGGGCCACTCCTCCTGTCTGAGCTCCGAGGACGTTGTGGAAATAGGAAATGCTGTAAGAGATGACACACAAACCCCAGAATTGTTAATGTTTTCTACCGTCCATGATATATATTTCCTCATTTATTGACTCTGGTGTTGCTTTGCTTGATGTTAGATAAAAATAGTGATAGTGTTATCAGTCATAACTAATATATTTCAAAACGTAACTCTACAAAACTACTCTTTATCTGGAACCAATATACGCCAGGGTAATGGGTAGTCTATTGAATCGTGATTCATCACTTATCTTTAATTTTATTAATACTCTAATGTTCAGAATCGACTTCAGATTTACTGACTCTACTTGATAACTGATGTATTTTAGTAACCTAATGGCTGTTGTGTATTTGCATCTAATGTTTCAGGATTTTTATGTTATATATGAAAATGTTTTCTTTGTAAGGTTATATATACATTTTATAAATCAGATATAACCTCTTGAAAATACTGCCAATACGCTGTATTTATAGACATTTTGGTTCAAAAATGTTTCCTTGGACTGGAATCATTCTATTTTAAAACAGAAACAACCAGACGTGCCTACAACTGTTGGGTCTCTTACAACCAACCCCATCCCATGTCCACCTCAAAACCATCTGCCGCCCTTACTGAGGGAGGAGAGGAGGAGGAGAAGGGATGGAGGCTTGAGAGATCTGCGAAACCTCATCTCTATTAAAAATACAAAAAATTAGCCGGCCTGGTGGCGGGCGCCTGTAGTCCCAGCTACTCGGGAGGCTGAGGCAGGAATGGCGTGAACCCAGGAGGCGGAGCTGCAGATTGGATATTGCGCCACTGCACTCCAGCCTGGAGCAAGATTCTGTCTCAAAAAACACAAAATAAATAAATAAAATATAAGAAAATAAAGAAAATTATCAATAATATGTACATGATAATATTTAGACTTCTTGTCATCTACTGATAGGCTTGTTTGTTCTGTTTTACACTGATGTTTCCATAAATCCTTGCAATCAATTATAGGCCAAGGTTTCATCTCAGCAAAAAGAACAATCTTGAGAGTCTGGGTAGTGCTGGGACTGTGCCATACACTTGGGAATAGATTTCTGATGGTATTTAAATGACTATGAAACCATACCATTGGACTGAGTCAGGAGTTGCAGACTTCTAATTGACAGCTTGATGCATTCATGAAATGGGCAACAAGATCAGGTGGAAGAAAAGTTAATTTTATAGAACTGAATGAGCAGATGGTTATGATTTTTATTTGAAATATTGTTGATGTTTTATTGTTCTATTTTCTGGAAATAATAATTCCTTTTCTTTTTCTCTTAAGCTTATCACTCAAACATGAGCAACTATGCTAATTTCTTTTGTAAAACAGAAATGAAACTTCTTTCTTTTCTTCCCTGACTCATCCATTCAAAATTTGGAAACTCTCATTGAATCTTCATGGCAATAAGGGTTATTTGCATAGATTCAGTAAGAGTCTGTCCTCTTGTTAACAGGCACAAAAACATTGGTAATACAACCAAGGCTTTGCCTGGATGTCACATTTGAGAATGACGCTTTATTTGATCAGATATGACCAGACACTTTAGAACCAAGGCTGACCTTATGGGGCCGATGCTTACAAAGCCTCAGGAAAACTGGCTTGAAAACCTGGCTTTGCAGGGTTCGCAGCTTTGTAGGTGAGCAAGGAATATCACTTCCCAGCAGGCTCTGGAATCTTAGGATATTTGTAGGATCTCATGAAGAAAGGAATGTTTCAGCAAATCGATAGGTACTGCATGTGTAATGTGATGTGAGTTGTTGGTTTATTTTTTAGTCCTCAAGAGGCTTTGAAAAGTCAATTGACATTCTTATGAAAAACTTCCAGCAAAGCAACTATAATATGATCTATATGTAAATTGGCACTCTGCTGCACTTATGCAAATAATAAGGCCAAATCTCCAAGACTAACTTAATTTGTGATCAAGAATAATCTTTTTGAGATTGTATCAGATCAAAAGGAGGAGTAACTGTAGAAAAGAAAACTTGTGTCGTGTGGGAAATCACAGCACATCTTTCTGGATTATCAGATTCTGAATCTGTTTATTTGTGTTTGAACTATTTAGTGCCTCTTTGTAAACTGCTAGTAACTGATCAATATGCAAACTTTGTAGCCAAGCTTTCTCTATCATTGTGGAAACTTCAGTTTGGTATTTACCTTGCACAGATTGTTAACCTGGCACAGATTGTCAACCTTTACTAGATTTTCAATTATTCCAGTTTCCTTCAGCATCTGGCTACAAACTAAGAGCCTTAAAAACGATTCTATTTTTATTTCTTCCTCTAGACTTGTAGTCACTAAGAACTAAAATCTGACTGCCTAGATACTTATTAGGACTCTAGGTTGCCCTGTTGCTGGTCTTTATCCCCTAGGATTTGAAGAATCACTGCAATTTCAAGTCTGAGGATTTGTTATAAGCCTAGAAGAACTTATTATCATTCCAGCTAAACATTCATGGTCCAACTATCTCTTTGGATAAGCCACTCTTTGGACTGCTTAGAAAGTTTGGCAAAATGCTCAGGTCATGCACGCCCTTATTGGAGAAGTAATCAACACTGTGGACATCATTACCAATATGATCAACATCTTGTCTTCAAAAACTCAGTAAGTGGTGGGAAAGTGAATATACAATTGCCAAGCCATACGTAAAAATACAACTTTGACTATAACTTCTGTAACAACCAGTCTATGAAGCCCAGCCACAACCTCTTTAACATCAGTAAGGACCTGGGCAATAATTGCCAGATTCCCTTTTGCTTGTATTTCTAACTTAGAACCAATCATAGGAAGCCAAATATACACTCCTAACAAATCACATAGGATGATCCACTTCTAGTTAGCCTGTTTCTAATTTCCCCATGCCAAAAGCCTACAATTAGGCATACCTAATTCCTTCCCTTTTTCCACTGTACAGCTTTCCTATCACTTTACCTGCATTTTAGTCTCTGCCAAACATAAATGATTGGTGACTCTTTTGTTTAGCAAACTCAGATTAAATAACATTTGTTTTCATTTGAGTGATTTTATTTATTTCACAGTTTTCTTGGAAATTCTATCAAGATAAGATCTGCTGTGCCTATCACCACAGACCCTAGCCTTCAACTGGGGCAGAACCCCTTATGCCTTATTGTTTGCCACTTATCAAGTCCACAGTGATGTTGTCAAGTCAGCACTAGGTCTGAACTCCACTCTGTTTGTGATGAGTTCTTTGACTATTTATTCTGTGTTTGATACTCTGGTTTTGTTATTCCTTACCATTTGTTTGCATTTTTGGCAAAACCAAGCCCTTCTTTTCATCCCTTTTTTGCCCTCATTTTTGTTACTCTTTTGTGTTATGCTCCCTAAAAGTGTAGTTTGTCATAAGGAGAATCACAGGGTAGAACACTGGCATGGGTCTTTTAAGACTATTGTTAGTGCCAGTTTCAGAGACCAGTGAGTTTTAGTTCCTAACTCAACTACCATCTTGTCATCCATTCTGCCTAACAACATTTGCTTCACTGTTGTGGATCTTTGTTTGGCCTTTCTTGAGTGTGCCTGTAGACTGTAGATCAGGATATACCCTTTTGCCTTCCTCTGGGTAGAACAACAATATACCTAGACATTCATACCTCAGTGGTTCACTGAAGCCCCCTCCTATTTTCCCCAGATCCTCAATCCAAATTTACATGATTCATAAATTTCTTTTGTGATTCTCTTCTGATACAATATGTAGATGATCTCTTACTTTGTTCACTAAACAAGGAGACCTATAAAAAGGATTCCACTTAATTGCTCTCAGCCCTAGCAGAAAAAGAACATAATATTTCGAAGATATATTATAAATTTTCCAGAGCACAGCCCATTATTTGTGGCATGACCCATTTAAGGAGGAAAAAGCATTATCTCCTTTTAGACTATCAAAACTCTTTCTAGACCCTTTTCAAGGTGGCAACAGAGAGCTCCTCTAGATATGGCTAGATATTGCAGACAATGGGGACCAAATTTTTTCTATGATTGCAATAGCTCTTTACAAATTGGCTAAATCCCGGTCTATGATGTGGGAGCTCAAACATGAGCAGGTGTTCTGTAATCTGAAGACAGCCCTTCAACAGCCTCCTTCCTTAGTCATCCCTAACTATTATATAAAAAGTCATTCCATTAATTTGTGCATGAGTGTTATGGACATGCCCTTAGGGTTTTAGCTTAGTTTCATGGGATTCATGAAAATCCTATTTATCACCATAGCCTCAATTTTGACTCAGCTGTGGTGGCTTATCCTTCTTGACTTAAGACAACAGGTAACAGCTACAAAACTTTTCAATGCTTGTGCTAAACTAGTTCTAGGCTCTCTGCTTGACCTCATGGTTCCTCATGCAGCACAGAAATTACTACTGACTGAGTATATATAACACTTTTTAGCCAATTTACTAGCATCTAATACTCTATCTTTCTCTCACATTACTATTTATCACTCCGACACACTGAGTCCTACTGCTCTCCTGCCCCACCTGAAATAAGTGCAACATCATGATTGTCTAATTTCGGTTAGGGAACTTTATTTGCCTCACTCCGATACATTAAAGATCCTCCTGAGAAACCTGATCTAATTGGTGAATCATATCTCAAAACTGAAACTAGAAGTTAGTAAACAGGATGTGCCATCAATAATTTAAGAAGATAGGTTTTAAAATATAGTCCTCTACTAGAATTAAAATCATCCCATATTGCAGAACTTCTTACACTTACTAGTGTTTGTCAACTAGCTAAATTCCAGGGATAAAATAAATAGATAGATGGATAGGTGGATAGATAGCAGATAATCTTTTTGGAGTAGTACATGACTTTGGTATGCTTTCATGACAAGGGGGTTTCTTATCTCTGCTTGGACCTTTCTAAAAATGGACAATAAGTGAAGTAACTTTTACATGTACTCCTACTACCTACAGAGATGACTATAAATGTTGGAACTTATGGAAAGAGAGACCACTTAAAGGAAATACTCAAGCAGATCATTATGCTCAACAAGCTAAACCCTCAAAGGATAAATCTCTGGTGAAACTGTGAAAACGAAGAGTGGAAAAATTATAGTTGTACTCTTCATTGATATAATCTCTGAAATGCTCAAGGTGGTTGCTTATGGCACCAGATCATTTCAAGTGGATATTAACTAAATTTCTTCATTAAACTACTCATCATGGAATATAAAAATCGGTTAGTATTTTTAATCACCATTAGTGAGAAAACTTTAAAAAGAAGCTGAGGCTATTTTCAGGTTATGTGTCACCTGTCAGCAACATAATCCTGGAAAAAATTATAAAGATTAAACATGGCCAGGACCCAGTGTCTCACTTTGAATATCTTCAAACAAATTTTATCCAGCTTACAACCTCTGTGAGATTTAAATTGTTTTAGTTTTTGTATATCTATTTTCAGAAGAGGCTATAGCATGTCCTTGCTAAAAAGCTATAATCCTTATAGACACCAAAAAAGCTGCTGGATTTTGTGTTTTCAAACTGGGACAGCCCAAATTTTTTATCAACCGATTGAGCACTCCCTTAACAAAAACCATTATAAAAGAACTCTGTAAAACAATAATTCTTACTCAGAAAACAATACTGTCTTTACCACCCATAATCTTCTAGAAAGGTTGAATAGACCAACTACATTTTAAAATTAAAATTAGCAAAACTTTTTAAAATCTTTAAGCTCCCTAGGCCAAAGATACTCCCCCTAGCTCTCACGGCCATACAGACCACTCACTCAGGAGCACATTGGTTATCTCCCTATGAATTGGTAACCGGAAGGCGTATGCATTTAGGGATTTTACGTCTGTTGCTAGACTTCCTACTGCATGGTGGCATGGCAAAATATTGTAAGTGGCTCACGTACTATACTCTGTCCTATCTAAAGGATTAAGGATACCCTTGCAGAACGTTTTCCTAAAGTACATTTTTTTCTGATCTTCAAACAGTATACTTCATCTATTGGAAGAGGCATCAGAGGAAAACTTCTCTTGTTCTCATTGGAAGAGACCTTGTCAGGTATTGTCAACAACAAAAACAGTAGTGAGTCAATTGTTGGTGATTCAGATTTTTGTACAGTTGGAAGACTACTCTAACAGGGACTTCAATATGAGGATGCTCGGTGATCCTGTAGATACAGCTGATCTTTGAAAGCAATGACTGACCCAAGACCTTTGGAACAAGCAGATGACTTCAGACAGTGGACAGATTCTGCTCAAGATGCTGGAACCAAGACCTCTTTCTAATTTCTGTTTTGTTTATCTACTTGCTCATAATCATTTTTGTTCTTATTTTCTATAGACCATTGCTTGTCATCTACTCATAATAGACCTTTCCTCTTTATTATAATTGTTAGGTCACAGCATACTGATCCTAATGTTGTTCCTAGTTTATCCCAAACAGTAGTCACTGCTCTTAGTCATACTGATGGCTAGATATTTTATTCATCTCCTGATCCTATTATAAAAGCCTCTGGGAAATTCCTGCCTTATCAAATAAGACCATAAGAAATTATAATTGACAGTTTTTCTACTTGCACCTTCATGGAAAAACTATCTTAAACAAATCAGTCTGTGACTTTACTAATATCCACCTTTCCTAGAAAAAAAACTCAATTGTTATAATCTATTGATCAGATACTATGTAATTCTAATTTTAAATTCAACAACTTTCTGAGGGCAATGGGCTAAATACTTGCTATCTGAAAGAGACAAACAGAAATCCAAATATGTAACCTCTCTGGTTAGCTGGTAATTTCACACCAGTGCTGCTTGTATCAAAAGATTTTTTTTTTCACCAACCTCTTGCAACCCACTCAATCCACTCGACTTGTCGCCCTCAGGGTGTGACTCCTGGCTATTTGCTTTAATTCAATCTTTTACATTAACATTTCTCTTTTTCATTTCAGGAATGCTTGTTTAAGACACCTGCACTTCAGGATTCTAAAATAATTGACCTTTTCTAACACTTCTCATCAGATGGTTCAATTTATTTTGCAGGAGGAACACCAACAAAAGCCCTGGAGAGACTGTTTATTAGATCCTGCTTCATCCCACTCAGGAGGTTTATATTTGTCTTTTATTTGCTCAGCAATCTATTATATTTGTTCATCTTGGACAAAAGGAGAGCCTGACACTGTGGAACTTTACCTGAGCTCTGTGTTCCTGGAAAACAGTGACACCGATGATTAAGAAATCCCTCCATCGTTTGTGTTCCTGAGAAAGACTTACTTCAGTGAAAACATCCTGCTTCATACGACTTAGATAAGTCTTCCTGTCTACTTTTTCTCATGACTCCAGTAAGATTCATGTGTACAGGTGTTTGTGGACAACTGATTTTTGATGAAGGTGCCAAGATCATTCAAGGGGGAAAGTAGTCTTTTAAACAAATGGTTCTGGGGAAACTGAAGAGCCAAAAGCAAAATAATTAAGTTGAATTCTTACTTTACAGTATCTTTTTGAAAAATTCAAAATGGACTGAAGATCTAAATATAAAAACTCAAACTATAAAAACTTAGAAGAAAATATAGGAGTAAATTTTCATGACCTTAGATGCAATAATAGATTTTTAAATATGACACCAAAAGCACAAGCAGCAAAATAAAAATCTAGCAATCGAGCTTTATCAAAATTAAAAACTTTTGTGCTTCAAAGAATATTATCAAGAAAGTCAAAAGACAACCAACAGACTATAGAGATACTTGCAAGACATATATCTGATAAGGAATTTGTATGTAGAATATATAAGGAACTCCTCAAATCAATAATAAAAAAAGACAAATAACCTAATTTTATCAGTGATAAATAATTTAAAGACACATTCTTTCAAGAGAGATAAATAAATGGCCAACACATATATAAAAAGATGCATGGCATCACTACTCATCAAGTAAATACAAATCCAAACCACAATGAGATAAAGTAGTATACCCACAATACCCACAAGGACAGTTAGAATCAAAACGTCAGATAATAATATGAGTTGACAAGAAGGTGGAGAAATTTGAATCCTCATAGACTGTTGCTGGAAATGTAAAATAGTGCAAGAACTTTGGAAAACAATCTGGCAGTTTCCTCAAATGATAAGACATAGATTTACCATAAGACTCAGAAATTTCCCACCTATGTATATAGTCAAGAGAAATAAAAACACAAAATGTAAACAAATGTTTACAGCTCTAATATTCAATACTCATAAAAGCTAAAAGTTGAAATCAACCCACATGCATACCAACTGATGAGTGAATAAACAAAATGTGATATATTTATATAGTAGAATATTATTTGCCCATAAAAGAAATCAAGTAGTTATACATGCTATAACATGAATGAACCTTGATTACATTATGTTAAGTGAAGATGTCAATCACAAAAGGCCATGTATTTTATGACCTATTTATATAAAATGTCCAGAATAAGCAACCTATAGATTTCATCATCTATAGGTATAGAAAGTAGGTTAATAATTGCGTAGAGATGGGAAGGATTAGTGGGTAGTGTGGGAAATGATAGCTAAACGGTAATTTTTTTGAGGTAAAAAAATTTTCTAAAACTGTGATGATAGATTCAAAATATATGAATATACTAAAAGCCACAGTATTATATACTTTAAATGCATGAATTGTATGGTATGTGAATTGTATCTCAATATACTTGTTAAAAAAAAAAAAAGAAAACCAATGACCCATGTTTGCAGGTGTTAAGCTTTTTGATTGCCTGCTTTCTGAATACAGTAAATTTGAACCGTTTTCAAGCTATTTTTAATTCAAACTGCCAGTATTTTTACTGATGAACATTCTCTTAAAAGCTCTGTGAATTTTCCATGAATCTGATAGGCGACTTTCTCTATGCCTCATGAAACATATCCATAATTATTTTTTAAGTAAAGCCTCCATCTACTTCTGTTGTCTGTGAAAATGCAAAGATCATTAGAAGTCCTTTTTGTCTGAGAGGGTCTACCAGGCACAATCTTCAATGTCTAAAGTCTTAATAAAGGGTTTTGTAGTTATCCATTGCTACGTAACGAATCATTTCAAAGCTTAGTGAATTAAAACAATCATTATTTAAAAAAAATTCTAATCATTTTATGGGTCAATTAATTATAGCTAGAGATTTGACTAGACTGGCAGGTACAAGATGACCTTTCTGGCCACTGATTCTGTTCTTCGGCTGGGATAGCATGGTTTTTCTCCACATGGCCTCTCATCTTTCAGTAGGTGAATTAAGATTATTTTCATGACGGACTCAGGGAAGTGTTCCAAGAGAACAAAATCAGAAAATGCAAAGCCTCTTAAACCTAACCTCAAAAGTTGCATTTTCAAGGGGGCTGGCCAAGATGGCCAACTAGAAGCAGCAGCGATCAGAAGCTCCCATCAAAAAGAACCATAAGAGCACACGAATTCTGCATTAGCAATTGAGGTATCCATGTTCTGCCATCAGAACTGACTAGGTGGCTGGTGTGACCCACGGAGAGGAAGGAAGAGCAGTGTGGTGCAGCGGCCCACCTGAGAGCCACATGAGGCAGGGGAACCCCCATGCCTAAGCCAAGGGAGGCGGTGAGTAAGCATGCTACTCAGCCTGGGAAAACGTGCTTTTTCCATGGAACTGTGCAACCCATGGATCGGAAGATGCCACTCGTGAGCCCATACCACCCGGGCCTAGGGTCCCAACCACGAAGTCCTGCAGATTCCCAATAGCCACGGATATAGAATCTGCTTAAGCCTTCCAAGCTCCCATGGTGAGGGGTGACCAGCACCACAGCTGCAGCTGCCTGCTGCCTAAGCTGTCTGAGCTCCTTGCGGGAGGGGTGACAGCCAACACTGGGACTGATAGCCTCCTAATACACTAAGCTCCCAGGGTGGGGAAAGGCGGCAGTCATCTCTATAGCTCCAGTCTGCACTTTTCCCCTGCTGGAGCTGGGAAGGCTGGATGACTTGGTCCCAAGAGGTATCCCCCACAGCCCAACACATTGGCTGTGACATACTGCAGACAGAGTGCCTCTTCAGGACTGACCTTGACCCATTTCTCCTCACCAGGTGGGGCCTCCCAAGAGAAACTCAAACAACTCCAGCCAGGGGCTCATGACCTCCCTGGGCCTGAGCCCCTAGTGGGAGGGGTGGCTGTATTCTCTGCAGACTAGCAGACTTAGTTTTTTCTCCTGCTAGTTATGAGGAATCCAAGCAACCCAGACGAATGGGTTTCTCCCCAGTAAAGCACATCCCCTCTCCCAAGGGATAGTCAAAGTGCTTCATTAAACAGGTCCTGCTCCCTGTGCCACCCAACTGGGTGAGACCCTCCAACAGGGGTTGTCAGACAACCTATACAGAAGCATTCCTACTGGCATCAGATTGGTGCCCTTCGAGGTCAGAGATTCCAGAGGATAGAGCACGCATCCATCTATACTGTTCTCCAGCCTCCTCAAGTTACGTTTCCAGGAGCGGGAATGAATGAGATGAATAGGGCCTGAAGTGAACCCCCAGCAAACTCCTGTAGCCCTACAGAAGAGAGACATGACTGTTGCAAAAGAAACAAACAGAAAGCAGTAACAATAGCATCAACAGCAAAAAAAAAAAGTTCCCACAAAAACCCCATCCAAAGGTCAGCAGCCTCAAGGATTGATATAGACAAATTCATGAAGATGAGAAAGAATAATTGAAAAAACACTGAAAACCCAAAAAGCCAGAATACCTTTTCTCCTCCAAATGATCACAAAGTCTCTCCAGCAAGGGTGCATAACTGGACGGAGGATGAGATGGACGAATTAACAGAAGTAGGCTTCAGAAAGTGGGTAATAACAAACTCCACTGAGCTAAAGGAACATGTTCTAACCCAATGCAAAGCAACTAAGAACCTTGATAAAAGGTTACAGGAACTGCTAGCTAGAATAACCTGTTTACAGAGGAACAGAAATGACCTGATGGAGCTGAAAAAAACAGCACAAGAGCTTCATGAAGCATACGCAAGTATCAATACCCAAATTGACCAATGAGAAGAAGGGATATCAGAGTTTGAAGACCGTCTTGCTGAAATAAGGCATACAGTCAAGATTAGAGAAAAAAGAATGAAAAAGAATGAACAAAACCTCTAAGAAATATGGGACTATTTAAAAAGATTGAACCTACGATTGATTGGAGTACCTGAAAGAGATGGGGAGAATGGAACCAAGGTGGAAAACACACTTCAGGATATCATCCAGAACTTCCCCAACCTAGCAAGACAGGCCAACATTCAAATTCAGGAAACACGGAGAACGCCACTGAGGTACTCCAAGAGAGGATCAACCCCAAGACACATAATCATCAGATTCTCCAAGGTCAAAATGAAGGAAAAAATATCAAGGGCAGCCAGAGAGAAAGACCAGGTCACTTACAAAAGGAAGCCCATCAGACTAACAGTGGACCTCTCAGCAGAAACCTACAAGCCAGCCAAAAGAGTGGTGGAGTCAATATTCAACATTCTTAAAGAAAAGAATTTTCAACCTGAATTTCATATCCAGCCAAACTAAGCTTCATAAGTGAAGCGGAAATAAAATCCTTTCCAGTCAAGCAAATACTGAGGGATTTCATCACCACCAAGCCTGTCTTGCAAAAGCTCCTAAAGGAAGCACAAAATATGGAAAGGAAAAACCGGTAACAGCCACTGTAAAAACACACCAAAATAGAAAGACCAATGACACGATGAAGGAATTGCATCAACTAGTGTGCAAAATAACCAGATAGCATCATGATGAGAGGATCAAATTAACACATAACAATATTAACCTGAAATGTAAATGGGCTAAATACCCCAATTAAAGAACACAGACTGGCAAATTGGATAAAGAGTCAAGACCCATTGGTGTGCTATATTTAGGAGACCCATCTCATGTACAAAGACACACATAGGCTCAAAATAAAGGAATGGTGGAAAATGTACCAAGCAAATGGAAAAAAATAAAAATAAAAAGCAGGGGTTGCAATCCTAGTCTCTGACAAAACAGACTTTATACCAACAAAGATCAAAAAAGTCAAAGAAGGGCATTACATATTGATAAAAGGATCAATTCAACAAGAAGAGCTAACTATCCTACATATATATGCACCCAATACAGGAGCACCCAGATTCATACAACACGTTCTTAGAGACCTATGAAGAGACTTAGATTCCCACATAATAATAGTGGGATACTTTAACACCCCACTGTCAATATTAGACAGATCAATGAGACAGAAAATTCACAAGGATATTCAAGATTTGAACTCAGCTCTGGATCAAGTAGATCTAATAGACATCTGCAGAACTCTCCACCCCAAACCAACAGAATAAACATTCTTCTCAGTGCCACATAGCACTTATTCTAAAATCAACCACAAAATTGGAAGTAAAACACTCCTCAGAAAATGCAAAAAACTGAAATCATAACAAACAGTCTCTTAGACCACAGTACAATCAAATTAGAACTCAGGATTAAGAAACGCATTGAAAACCACACAACTGCATGGAAATTGAACAATCTGCTCCTGAATGACTCCTAGGTAAATAACAAAATTAAGGCAGAAATCAAGAAGTTCTTTGAAACCAATGAGAACAAAGAGACACTGTACCAGAATTTCTGGGACACAACTAAAGCAGTGTTAAGAGGCAAATTTATAGCACTAAATGCTCACATCAGAAATCTAGAAAGTCCTCAAATTGACACCCTAAAATCGCAATTTAAAAAGCTAGAGAAGCAAGAGCAAACAAATCCAAAAGCTCTCGGGAGACAAGAAATAACTATAACTAAGATCAGAGCAGAACTGAAGGAGATAGAGACAAAAAAACAAAAACAAAAATAAAAACAAAAAAAACCCTGCAAAAAAATCAATGAATTCAGAAGCTGTTTTTTTTTTTTAACTTAACAAAATAGATAGACAGCTAGCTAGACCAGTAAAGAAGAAAAGAGAGAAGAATCAAATAGACACAATAAAAACATCATAAAAGGGTAATTACCACTGACTCTACAAAAATACAAACTACCATTGGAGAATAGCATAAACACCTCTATGCAAATAAACTAGAAAATCTAGAAGAAATGGATAAATTACTAGACACATATACCCTCCCAAGACTAAACCAGGAAGAAGTTGAATCCCTGAAATAGACCAATAACAAATTCTGAAATTGAGACAATTAAGAGCCTAACCAAAAACAGCCCAGAACCAGATGGATTCACACCCCAAATCTACCAGAGATACAAAGAGGAGATGGTACCATTCCTTCTGAAACGATTCCAAACAACCATAAAGGAAGGACTGCTCCCTAACTCATTTTATATGGCCAGCATCATCCTGATACCAAAACCAGGCAGACACAATAACAATAACAAAAACTTCAGGCCAATATCCCTGATGAATACAAATACAAAAATCCTCAATAAAATACTGGCAAACTGAACCCAGCAGCACATCAAAAATCTTATCCACCATGATAAAGTTGGCTTCATCCCTGGGATGTAAGTCTGGTTCAATATATGCAAACCCAATAAACCTAATCCATCACATAAATAGCACCAATGATGGAAACCACATGATCATCTCAATAGATGCAGAAAAGGCCTTAGAAAAATTCAACATCCCTTCATGTTAAAAA